CTACAGCCGAAAACACATCCACTCTGCCCCGCAGCGGGCTGTAGATCTGGTGGTATTGACATCCGCTCTGCCCCGCAGCGGTCTGTAGATCTGCTGGCATTGACAATTGTTCTGCCCTGCAGCGGGCTGTAGATCTGCTGGCATTGACATCCACTCTGCCCTGCAGCGGGCTGTAGATCTGCTGGCATTGACATCCGCTCTGCCCCGCAGTGGGCTGTGTAGATCTGCTGGCATTGATAATTGCTCTGCCCCGCAGCGGGCTGTAGATCTGCTGGCATTGACATCCGCTCTGCCCCGCAGCGGGCTGTAGATCTGCTGGCATTGATAATTGCTCTGCCCCACAGCGGGCTGTAGATCTGGTGGCATTGACATCCGCTCTGCCCCGCAGCGGGCTGTAGATCTGGTGGCATTGACATCCGCTCTGCCCCGCAGCGGGCTGTAGATCTGCTGGCATTGATAATTGCTCTGCCCCGCAGTGGGCTGTAGATCTGGTGGCATTGACATCCGCTCTGCCCCGCAGTGGGCTGTAGATCTGGTGGCATCAACAATCACTCTGCCCCGCAGCGGGCTGTAGATCTGCTGGCATTGACATCCGCTCTGCCCCGCAGCGGGCTGTAGATCTGCTGGCATTGACAATTGCTCTGCCCTGCAGAGGGCTGTAGATCTGGTGGCATTGACAATTGCTCTGCCCCGCAGCGGGCTGTAGATCTGCTGGCATTGACAATCGCTCCGCCCCGCAGCAGGCTGTAGATCTGGTGGCATCAACAATCACTCTGCCCCGCAGCGGGCTGTAGATCTGGTGGCATTGACAATTGCTCTGCCCCGCAGCGGGCTGTCGATCTGCTGGCATTGATAATTGCTCTGCCCCGCAGCGGGCTGTAGATCTGCTGGCATTGACAATCTCTCTGCCCCACAGAGGGCTGTAGGACCTGGTGGCATTGACAATGGTTGACTGTTGGGACTGGGGAAGACCTGCCTTCCCGCCTGGGTTGCTCCAGGGTTAAGTGGACGGTACTTGCTCCACACACAGACAGGGCCCCCCAGCCTCATCCAGACACACCCTTGATGGGCAAACCTCAGTGCGTGTGCCCGGAACACACCCTCCCACACCTCTTCAGAGTCCAGAAGACGCAGTTCAGGTGAGGGAGGGAGGCTGGAGGGCTTAGCCCAAGGCCTCAGGCGGCGACGCAGGCCGGGCTGGTGTTCTGAGCCCGGCAGAGAATGTGCTTCCCTGTAAAATCTGCTTTTCCAACAGTGCACAGTGATCGTGTACTGAGCAATCCTGTACACTGAGCAGTGCTTACTGTCTAGTTTCCCCGTGCGCTTCACTGGGAAGCAGACGGACTACATGAGGGTGGCTGTGCAGGTGGCCCTGCTAAGATAAACTTTTCGTTGGGGTTAAGGCAACAGATAACACAGAGTAGGCCAAGGTGTGTGGCTTTTACTTTCTATGAAATGGTTTATTTTCCTGTTTACCACGGAGAGGCTACAAATACATATCCAAGATGAACACAAAGCGCGGAACTTGGCGACACTGAGGATGGCTCTGGGGGTGGAGGCTGGGGGAGGGCAGGGTGGACCCCGCTCGTCTCCACCGCACGCCACAGCGTCAAAGGCACTTATCAAGCGGTGGGGCGCGGAGTCAGACGTGAAAGCGCGGCCTCAACTCAGGGCTTCGAGTTACAGCTGAGTTCCTGACACTTTACTAAATTTCTGACTTACTATGCAGCTTTAAAATAAACACATGGTTTTATTTCATCACCTTTTCAAATGAAACAAACAGTAACTTGCGAAACTAGACTTGTTTCTGCACTAGATTATAAGATCTCGAGGTCAGCCCTTGCCCACCCACCGGCCGCCCCTGCGGCCGTCTGTGCCACACCGTCTGGCCTGGCATCACCAGGGACATGCGGCACTGTGCTAACACATGGGCAACCCCTGCTTTCACACATTCACCCCCGTAACGGGCCACCCCCACTTCCCTCTGAATTCCTACTCACCTAATACAAAGCAAGAGCCAGAGGAAAAGTGTCTGTGACCCCACCCTTCATTCTGTTTAATTTACAGAAAAAAAACTCAGACGAACATCAAACTTAAAAAAGAAGGCCCACCCAGACCCAGGGCTGCACACCTGTGGTTCCAGCTATGCAGGAGACTAAGGCAGAATTTCTTGAGCCCAGGATTTGAGACCAGCCTGAGTGATCTAGAAAGACTCCATCTCAGACTGGTATGGTTGTGCAGGCCTGTAATTCCAGCATTGAGGAGGAGGCTGAGGCAGGAGGACAGGAGGTCTGGAAACTGCCTTAGCTATACGGCTACACAGTCTCAAAAGATACAAAATAAATTAAAAAGCCCCAGCCCCACAGGGGGAGAGGAGCTTCTTTTCCTGCCGAGGGCCATTTGGATCTTTATAACATCCTTACAGGCCATACAAAATCACCAATACACAGTCGGCCATACCAGCCAATGAGGAACATTCAATGTCTGTCTTGCCACGTGCCAAATGGTTTTGAGGAACTTACATGGCTACGTGCTGGGCGTTTCCCACTTGGGAAACCCCAAACGATGGATGAGGTGAATAGCACTTTCCGGTTCTTTCCAACCAGTTTTGTGGCAATTGTCTGTATAACATTAAGTACTATATACACTGCATTCTCAGAAATGTAGACTGATTCATGCTCTTCCCCGCTCGCCCAATCATAGAAAAATAAGATTGACTCTAATCTCCTTTCTATGTGCAAACACCATTCAATGGGTATAATAACAGTGACTGGATACAGTGAAGGGCATCTGATGGCGTTGGTTCTCAACATGGAAGAACATTTCTTGCACATTTCCTAGTCACCAAGTATCTGCGGGATAGCAGGTGGGTGTGGGCGGGGCCTCAGGCAGCAAGTGTCGCCTCTTAGCCTCGCTCAGGCCGGCACATGATAAGCATTTATAGGGCACCCGCATGCTACACACAATTGAAAGGTAACACTTTTTGCTTTAATGATGCCAACGTTATAATTTTCAAATGCAGAGTACAGAAATATACAGAAAGGACTATAGCGACAGGTAGTCTACAGGAGAGCTCCCAGAGGGCATTTTTATATACATATATAATGTGTTAATTTCTCTCCCTCCACTTTAGACATTGGTCCACCTTCAACATTGAATTTTCTTTGAATCAAGAAGTCCCCCAAAAGATTAAAAAAAAATCTCCAAGTTTACAAAACCTTAGGGAAATTTCTAGTGTGCTCTGTTAGGACAGAGGAGCCAAAAGACTATACGTATTATTATGTTATGATCAGAAGGAGGAACTGTTAGTTAGAATTGTAATGCCAAAATGGCTGCCAGGCAACAGGCGGCTGGAATTAAAAACAAATCACAAGGTTACGTTTCAGGCATAAGAACAGTGAATGGACTTCACTCAGTTCCAACTACTATTTGCAAAGCTACTTGAATGTTTCTGTTCATCTTCACTGTTGTTAAAGAATGACTGTTCTGATGACGGTGTGACTTCAGTTTTTCAAGTGCAGGATGATCTGAGCTGAATGAGAGAAACAATGGTTAAGGCAAGGAACCAAAGCAGGCTGGCGACAATCTGAACAACCATTCCCCTTGTTTCTGACTTTAGGAAGCCCGCGTCACTCACAGTGCCACAGGGCTGTCACAGAGATACATGCCAGCCATTTGAGGGCTCTCGGGGCTGACTCAGGATTGGGGGACAGGAGCCCAAGTAAGCCAGGAGCCCAGCCACCACTGCCAAGGGCTAGGGGTCACGTGCCACCACCAGTGTGCCCAGCCACAGTGAACTTAAATACAAAGACAACTACATATATACAATGTTTTTATATAAATATTTTCTTTATTTTTATGATTAAGATTTTAAAAATATTTTATAATTTTATTTTTATAATTGTTTCTTTAAAAGTGGCACACTGTATTAAAGGAAGAACTGGAAATTAAAGAAATAATCTTTATCTTCACTAGCAGATATTGTAGAGAAACCAGATTTCGACACCAACTAACAGAAAACTACTCAAGTCTAGTTCTAACCCAGATAAAGGACGTACATATTGTGTTAGAACTGATTTTGCCCTTTCAGTTAAAAATATTTCCATCCCTAAACTATTAGCTCCTGCAGTTGTAAAAATGCTCCTTTTCTTCAGTACTTTTGTCAAAGGAGTTATCAGCAATTCAGACGCGGCTCCCAGTCAGGAGCATCAACCAGAGGAGGCAGCATTACACTGGCAACATGACGTAATTACCAAGATGTTTACCTATTTTCGAATGCTTTAAGGAAACCATAAACTTTGGCAATTTTATTTAGATTTTTCTCTTTCGATTGTCTTAAACATCATTTAAAATGCCTTTAAGTGTCTTTCCATTCTAAAAAGAACATTTTGCCTCTTTGCACTAATTATTGCAAAATGAAACACATATAGATTCTGTTTAATACATTTTGAATTACAATGATCAAATAGATAAAATGTTATATAGGAGCATTATTTTCTATTAACCCTATTTCTAACTTAAGACGGCCAGGGGCACAAACATCTGCAGACTCGTGAAGCTGGTCACTTTGACCTGCTCCAGCAACACAAAGCGTTGGCACACTGGACTGTTGTGAAAACCAGTGGTCTGGCAGCCCCTGCATTTGCCTCTCACTCCCTCCCTGCCGACTACAGTGCTTCCCACGGTTGCCTGCTCATTACTGTGCAACATCCACCGCCTGACGGGGCTCAGAGGATGCACAGGTAGAAAACCTGGAGCAGATGATTAGACAAGCAACAAAATAAAACCAGGAAAAAGACGCCTGTGACTCTCCCTTAATCAGGGCTGTTCTCGCCTTACAGACTAGATCGCGGCTGGTAGCTGCATCGTGGTCATTTCCAAACTCGCCAGCAGCATTTTCCAATAATTTTATTGTCTCCAGTTTTAGGATACCATGCTATTTTCACACTGTTCAAATTTCCCATTTCCATAATCCAACTATCAAAAGAATTACTAACATATTCCCTTATATAAGCAAAAGTAAGTTTACTAGAGTGTTTTTAGTGATGGTTGAAGACAGAAACATTTACAACATTTAGCCTTTGTTTAGCCTTTGTTACAACTCCACACACACGTGGAAAGCGCTGGTAAAGCAATTCCAACAGGAAGAGAAGGGTATTCTTGCAAGTGCTGACGGAGCGTTACGCACTGCGTTTAGCAGAATAACTTGGTACTCAACAGAGGCTTCCGGACCCCAGTCTGGCCCCCGTTTGATGCAGTAATTCAAGTCCTTATATCACTAACATACTAGTATGAAATACTATCACCAATGTTTAGCTATATACACCAACAATGAACTGGCAAGTATCTAGCTTCAAATTAGATCCTTGGAATACAGCAAAATAGTTATCTTTGCCTTAAACATAATTATACAAAGGAGATTTTGTTAGAAGGAAAGACGATAATTGGACATTCTCAATGCTCCAATTTGAAGGGATACTTGCCTCTTAATTCCTTGAAAAAGGAGTTTGGGAAGTTATATACATAGATTTCATTTAAATTATGCAGCAATCTTTTATTATTATTATTGTCCCAGATCTTGTTTAATGAGGATCTCTGTCATCAAATCAAGTACGGTATTTCACAACTATAAGAACTGTAAGAGAAAAAAAAAGTAAAAAAAAAATATTTATCAAAATCTGATTTATCTGCTGTGTTAGATGCAATATTCCTAAATATATGTGTGTCCACTTTTAAAAAGGGCCAACGACTAAACTTTTATCTGAGATAATAAATAATCAAAGAAAACAACAAATTAAACAACCCAAATGTCTAACTCTGGCACCCCAATTAAAGTATGGCACAATGGCAGCAAGCAGCTGTTGAAATACTGAAACTATTTAATGGCATGGGAAGATAGGTGCAATACATTCAGTTAGAAAACACCATCTCAGCTTGTGAAATGCATGCCGATACACTGATAGGGGAGACTGGATGTATATACCAGAGTTTATTTTATTTATTTTGTGTCGGTCGTGGACCTGAACTCTGGGCCTGGGCGCTGTCCCTCAGCTCTTCAGCTCAAGGCTAGCGCTCTACCACTTGAGCCACAGCGCCACTTCCAGCTTTTTCTGCTTATGTGGTGCTGAGGAATCGAACCCAGGGCCTCGTGCATGCAAGGCAAGTGCTCTACCACTGAGCCACCTTCCCAGCCTACCATAGTTTATTAATAATAACTATCTCTGTGTGCTGAGATTAGTCAATTTTTTTCCTTTATACCACATTTTCAATGATGTCCAGTATATACTGTTGGTTCGTATTACTAGAAATAGTTACAAAAAATGCAAAAAAAACCTACTGCATTAGTAAGTTCTGAACTTTTTCTCTTCTTTTTGTACCAGTTCTGGGACCCTAGGTTTTTTGTTGTTGTTGTTGTTGTTTCTCGCTCCCTCATGGCATTCTACCACTTGAGCCTCAGATCCATTTCCAGCTTTGGGGTTAACTAGAGGTAAGAGTCTCATGGACTTTCCTGGCTTTGAACCATGATCCTCAGCTCTCAGCTTCCTGAGTAGGCGTGAGTCTCCACTGGTGCCCAGCCTGAACCATTTCTCTTAGGGAAAATATAGGATTACATTTGGCCGAGGCTCTGACTAACACATTTTTGTCAATAATGCATATATAAGCTTGTTTTTATGTGTGCTTTTTAAATAAAGGCACATGTGTTCTGTTAAGCACTCCCAACTTTCATGCACTTAGTAGACTGCTTCAGGATTGTGCTTGGGGTCCATTTTAAACTGCAAATTCAACACAAAGCACAAAAATTTGGGATGGATTACATAAAGGATGCTTATCTAAGCATAAGAACTGGAACAAAAAGGCCAAAACTGCCTTGTTTGGCTTTTGCTGGAGACCTGCAGGTCAGGAAAGCGAAATTTTTTGCAGCTCTCAACTCTTACAAATGACTGCAAAAGTAACATGAAGATCGATTTCGGGATGGCAGCTAGGTTTCTACTAGTCAACAAATTTACAATCCATACATAAGTATTTTTTTCAAAACAGAAGAGCTGCTGCTGCAGGCTCGCACTTGGACTCAGGAGCCAGAGAGCCAAGAGTGCATCCTGAAGTCAGTCAAGGTAAGAAAAGCCTGACTGACTCAGTTTCCAAAATAACCAGCAAAAATGCAGGCTGGAAATACGGTTCAAGTAACAGAGTTCCAACCTAGCAATTAGAGACCCCTGAGTTCAGTACCATAAGCAAACAAAAAAGAATAGCTTCCTAAAACTTCAGACAAGGAAATGTTAAACAAAAAGTAAATACTGGAAATGATTTGCCCTTAAAAAAAAAACACTAAGTTATTCAGGAGGCTGAGATGTGAGATTTGAGGTTTAGAGCCAGTCTGGACAGACAAATCTGAAAGACCCTTACCTCCAAATAATCAGCAAATACTAGAAGTATGGCTCAAGTGTTAGAGCAGAAATCTTGAATGAAAAAGCCAAGCAGGTGCACAGGCTCTGAGTTCCAGGCCCAGCAGGTGCACAAACAGAAAGAACATTAAGGATAAATTATGCTTTAATGTTCCAAATCAAGTTCAATTCCAGAACATGCACACACCAAAAAAAGCTACCTAAGGAATTTCACTGGCTATGCCCTTCCCAAACAGCATTATTAGGTACAAAAATAGTACCTGGAAGTTAGCAGTAAACAAAAAAATGAATATTCTGGTATAACAGGAACCAGACTTGCCTTGTTTGGGGTGTGGGCAAAGAGGAGGAAATGAGCTCTGTGTAAGAATCTGACAAAGATAAAAACATGTGCATGTGCACATAAAGTCTCACAGCCACTTTAAGAGCATTTTCATACATTGTAGGTTAAAGACTCACAAGTCAGAAGTCATTATTCAATCTTGTTTTAGATATACCCGTGTCAACTCAAGTTAAAAGGAATTAAGATGAACTGCAAAATAAGTAACCCAAGAAGAATTAAGTCAATAAATACTTACTGATAATCACTAGCAAAAGGATAACAGCAACCAAAGCCATGATGGCTTTTATCTACAATACACAAAAAGAGCACATGAGAGGTGTTCCGTCTGAAAACAAAGCCAAGACTATCTGTTCTCCTATTCACCATGGAAGAGGCTCAGCACTCAGCACGCAACAGGGACGCTCCTTCAAAGATTTCCAATTTGTTTCTCCAAGGAGTTTGCAGCCTTTTGTAAATAATTAGGAGTTCCCTTAATTTGAAGCTTTTTACTTCACTGGACTTTGTCATTCAAGGCTGCACTGCAGAAAAACTGTTCTAGCAAAGCATTCCAGACAGGCCTTTTCAAAGGTCTGCGCATGCTCTGTTTCTTATGCTATTTCTACCTTAAGATCAGGAAAAGTGTGTGATACTTCAGCAGCTCTGTACAAGTGTCATAATGTGATGAACAGAGACAGCAAACCCAGAGTTTAACACTCCAGGGTCCGTCCTTATGTGATATTTATAACCTTGTGATTGTGCCTGCCCGGTGAATGCCGGAGACCAGACAGTACCAGGTCTATATAACTGTTTGTTCCTCTAGATGACCTTTGGGAGAAACCCTTAGCATATGGCAAAGTCTGGGTTAAAAAGTTACTTCTGAACTTAAAAATGCGAGATCATAGTACTCATGTCTGTGATTTTTTGATTACACCTAGAATAAGGAGGAAAAACAGATTTGCTCACAGGACATGAGATTCACTGTAAAATCAGTGGTTTAATGATCAGTGGTCTTCCTTGACTTAAGAGGTAGGCTCGCTCCCATGAGGTACCCTGCGGGGATGCGGTGTCTGTAGTGCAGTGATTCTGTAGTTCTCTTGTCAAAGCATTATTTCTCTGGGATAATGAGGGACAATGGAATTTTTTCCCTTAACCGTTTTGTCAGTAGAGATTCTGACTATGCAATGCTTTAAATTTGTCCCCTCTGAACAGAAAATCAAATTTTTCTCTAGCTCTTATTTTAAATGTTTTATGCCAATTCTGGGCCTGGGTGCTGTCGCTAAGCATCTGTTGCTCATGGCTGGCTCTTTCCCACCTGACCCACAGCATTACTTCCAGCCTTTTTCTGTGATTAGTTGAAGACAGTATTGCCAGGAAAAAAAATTATAGAAAGAGTTGGCTTCGTCATGGGTAAGGTGTGTGTGACTCTCATGAAGCCATCTAGCCAAACCGCCCTTTAGGCGCAGCTTGAGTCCTTTCGTTAGTCCCATCCCCAGAGTAACTGATTAACCCAACATGTATGTCCCGACTTCCCACCATGGCCCCAGCTCAGAAGGAAAAAAGATGAGCAAGGCCATTCCAATCCCTGTCCTCAGAGAGCTTACGTTGCAGGGCTCCGCTTCCCCCAAGCCCTTGGCAGCTACCTGGGAGCTGACCAAGCTCCACAGTATTTACTGGCCTCCTTACCTTGCAGCCTCGCCACCACATCTGCCTTCGAAGTTGTTTCGATCTGTTGCTAAAAGCAGTTGCATTGTCCGATAAGCTTTCTGTATCACGTAGAGGGTGGAAAGGAGGATTAAACAACAGAACAGGATTCTTTAACCCAGTCCCACAAAGATGAGAACATATTCATTCCTATAGCTGCAAATTAATTCCCAGTGTAAGAAACAAAAACAAAAAGGCTTGGGACATCCCTAGAGAAAAATTACTCACGGGAATGATTCCATTCTGAGAAATGCTTAAGTAAGTCATTTTGAAGGAAAACTATCAATTTTTTAAAAGATTGCATTTTTTGGTCAAGCAAATCTGTCGAGACTTAACCATTCACCATTTGCATATCTAATATATGCCAGGAGGAGTTACAGCACTATGGCCAATATCAGTCTGTAAAGAAAGGTTAATGACGTATCGGAGAGCACAAATAACAGTATCAGATATGCTTCAAGTACATGTTTTAAAAAGGCATCAGAGGACTGGGAAGGTGGCTCAGTGGTAGAGTGCTTGCCTTGCATGCCTGAGGCCCTGGGTTCGATTCCTCAGCACCACATAAACAAAAAGAAAAAAGCCAGAAGTGGCGCTGTGGCTCAAGTGGTAGAGCGCTAGCCTTGAGCTGAAGAGCTGAGGGACAGCACCCAGGCCCAGAGTTCAGGCCCCACGACCGGACCCAAAAAAAAAAAAAAAGGGCGTCAGACCTTAGCTTTCACATCATGACAAACACAAGGCAAAGCAATGCAGCCAGTCAAAAAAGAAAAAAATCGCTCTAAAACAATGCATTTAAAAGTGTCCACTCCTGGCTGAACAATTAGGACGTGCTTCAATGATTAGATGCTCAAAGTAAAGGGAACTGAAATTATGTCATGAAAAACTGTAACTTTCAGAATCAAATATTAACTAAGTCAAGATTCTTAAACAAGGCTAAACGAATAGGAGACATACATCAAGAAAACAGGGGTTAATACTATCAGTAAGCATGTGAGGTGTCCGTACCTGATTTGTCCTGCAGCTCATCGAGTCTCTCCCCTCTTTCAATTACCTTTGTAATGTTTTCTTGCATGACATCAATAACTTCATCCACCTGACTCTGCACACTAGTTTAAAAGAAGATATAAATTATTTATTATCCTACTAAGACTGTTCATAACTTCTGAAATGTTTTTTTTTGGATGTGATAAAGACTAGCAAATTCTCACAGAGTTCTAATTTTCTCTTAAACGTAGAGGGGTTACAACAACTGAGAACACTCACAAGTGCCGAGTGGGAAACAAAAATGAAAAAACTTGCTTTTATAATTCTCCAAAATGAAAATATGTTTTTCTCCTTTTTATTAGGTGTTAGAGCCCACTCAAACCAAATTTCAGACTGTTCTATGCAAATATATCCAAACTTAAACATTAAAATTGGTTCTTAACCACCAACATTTGTTAACTCCACATTTCCTAACTCTTTGTTAGAGATAGCTCAAGTTAAGAGATAGACTGCTCAAGTGTCCAGTCTCCCTTTGATGCCCTAACTACAATACAAAAACTATCTGAAGTTCACTGTATGAAATAATCACAACAATAACTGTTTGAAAAGACAAGTAAAGTGAACTTCTACTTCTTATAACACAAAAATGTGTGAAGTACATTAGATTATTAGCAACTAATTATTAAATAGATATGTGTATTTAAGTAAATAAGGACATGTGGTTGTTTCTAGTTGGGGAGGAAAAATGTGTTATCAGCTGGGAGCTTTTTAAATAAAAACTTCATAATACACATTTCTTCTCTGCCCTTTACCCCATCTTATCCTCTTCAAACTAACCCTGAGATTTAGAGCTGTGGCATGGTTGTGTGTAATTCTGAAAAAGATCTCTCTCCTTTGAGCTATGCCTTCAAAGAGTTTGCGTCAAAAAACAAAATGGAAGCCCATTTAGATACAGGTAGAGTCCGAAGTACCCCCACATTTAAATACCAATTACTGTACTTGCTAATAATCACCTGTCTCTTGTTTTAAAAGCATTAAACACACCCACTGATTATCTGCACTTAGTCTTCAGGATCATTACAACTTCCCAGAGTTCCATGCTTCCCACACATCATTCTACAGAAGGATTTAAGACCGAAGCTCAACCACGCAAGGACATGCAGAGTGCTTTTCCTCCCAAAGATCTGAAATAGCTCCTGAGCCTCTAGATGTCTTGTTGCTAAGCGGAGAGCTAAAGAGCTTTTTCCTATATAACAGCAGTTCATAAATACTTATTTTTTCAATCACTATTTCCAACAAAGTAATAAACACCTATGATGTCCTGTTTTAGGTACTAGGAAACAACAAAGAATAAAATGGACAACCCCGTCAATTGATCTCAGTGTTTAACACAAAGTACAATTGTCTGTTAACTTACTTACCTGCCTATTTTCTGCCTCTCCCAATTAGAAGGTAAGTTCAATGAATGCAAGAATACTGGCTATTTTGTCTACATTAGAACTCCACTATAATAGTCTGGGCAAAATAGGTACTAATATTTCTTTAATAAATGAAGAAACTGAGCATAATTCCTGCCAGGCAGATTTAGCCTGAGAAAGAAATACAGGAAGTGGAGGTACTGCTCCATTACCAACACTGAGTGAAAAAGCTCATCAATAGTATAAAGCCCTGAGTTCAAGCTACAATATTGGTGTACGGATGTGTGTGTGTGTGTGTGGGTGTGCGTGAGAGAGAGAGAGAGAGACTTAAGAGAAAGAGATTTAAGCAGTAATTGTAGAGACTTACACTTAACTATAATAAGACAGATTTCAATCTATGTTCATCAAGAACAAAACCTGCAATTTGTAGGTAGTGATTTTTATTTTATATAACTGATAATAATAGGCTAAAGTAAAGCAGCAGAATGGCAACTTGGACCAAAAACCACGATTCAATTATTTGTCGCCTCTAAGAATACATCTCCACAAAGATGGAGGAACGTGAGGGTGAACAAATGTAGCAGTGAGGCTGGGAAGGTGGCTCAGTGGTAGAGTGCTTGCCTTGCATGCCTGAGGCCCTGGGTTCGATTCCTCAGCATCACATAAGCAGAAGAAAAAAAAAGCCGGAAGTTGTGCTATGGCTCAAGTGGTAGAGCGCTAGCCTTGAGCTGAAGAGCTGAGGGACAGTGCCCAGGCCCAGAGGTCAGGCCCCACGACCGGACCAAAAAAAACCAGATGTAGCAGTGATACTAGCTAGGTACTATGTTTGGGTGGAGACAGAAGGGTAAACAAATGTAGCAGTGATACTCACTAGGTACTATGTTTGGGTGGGGACAGAAAGGAAAAACTGGGAGACAGTGAGGGAAGTGGTGATGTACTGATTACCTTTACACTAACCTTATAAATAAGCAAAAACCAACTCACAACGCATTGGCTGGCTAGGGTGGAAAGACAGCAGAAGCTCCCCCACCAGGCAGGGTGTCCACATTGACATACGGTAAGTAGACTTCAAGCTAAAGTCAGTCAGAATAACAAAGGTCAATTCTTTTTTTTTGCCAGTCTTGGGCTTGACCTCAGGCCCTGAGTGTCTCTGTGCTCAGGCGAGCGCTCTACCACTTGAGCCACAGTGCCACTTCTGGCTTTTTCTGTGTATGTAGTACTGAGGAACCAAACTCAGGGCTTCATGCATGCTAGGCAAGCACTCTACCACTGAGCCACATTCCCAGCCCTAAAGGTCACTTCTTATTAAGGGAATGATCCAACAAGAGAAAGTGATTGCTAATTTATATGCATCAAATAGCACCACATCCAAGTGAATTAAACAGACACTACCAGACTTAAGACCCCAGCACTATATCCTCTCGCCAATAGGTAAGTCACCCAAACAAAAAAAATCAATTAAAATTGAACTAATTAAAACAAAATAGCACAATAGACCAACTGCATTTAAGATAGCTACAGAGTATCGTATTCAGTATACATTCTCAGCAGCCCATGGACCCTTCTCCAAAATAGATCATGTCCTGGTACTTGCAGCAATCTGAGCAAACAGACATATGCTGACATAATTCCTTGTGTTGTCTGACCACAGTTAAATAAAACTAGAGCTCAGCAGCATATGACAATGCAGAACACCTTTAAGCACATTGAGCCTGACAACACACAGCTGAATGGTGTGGGCCACTTCCTATGAGATGAAAAAGGGAACACATGCTACCAGCCTCATTCCCTGTAAGATTAGGGTCATTTCAGGGCGTTTACCCTAAATGATAGATAAATAGGGTAGAGAAGTGGGGACAAAAACCACGCAATAACTAAGTTCATAACCTGTGCAGCGGAGCGACAGTAGAAAGATAACGGCATTTAATTGAAATGGAAAAGGACTCTCCGTGGAAAAGCAAGTTTGTGAATCAGGCGTGAAGGCCATATGAAGAAAGGGTACAGAACATACAGAAAAAGGCATTTCCGATGTTGTTTTACATCCTCTTGTAGAACAGAGACTGTAAATTCATTTTTGGCTTTGCAATACAGCTTATCGCTCGTTATGTTGGTGATTACAGACACCACTCTGCAAGTTAGCCTTGCATTTTTCTCAACATTGAAATGATGGTGGTAATTTCTGTTGATAGAGTTAAAAGTCATAGTTTTTCAAAGACTAAGCATGTGCTTTTCCACTAGAAAGAAAAATCTGTGCTCTACAAGACATACTCCTCCCTTATTTTGTAAGGAAAACATGTATCTTCATCATTAACATCCCCATCTTGTGGTCTTTTCAGGTACTGTTGACAAAAGAAGTTTTAACGTTCTGTTTTATTGTTGCAACTACATCTATTGTTCATAGTTGGGAGATTATTTATTCATGAATATTAACCATTCAGCAGAGTAATATTAAAAATGTTATTAACTAAAAAGCAAAGAAAACATTCCAAAGAAAACCAAAATCTTCTTTGGGGCTGGGGAGGTTGCTCAGTGGTAGAGCGCTTGCCTTGCATGCATGAGGCCCTGGGTTCCATTCCTCAGCACCACATAAGCAAAAAGAAAAAAGCCAGAAGTGGCGCTGTGGCTCAAGTGGTAGAGCGCTAGCCTTGAGCTGAAGAGCTGAGGGACAGTGCCCAGGCCCAGAGTTCAGCCCCACCACCGGACCCCCCCAAAAAAAAAACCCCAAAATCTTTATATACAGGCAAGTAACTAAAATCTTGCTCCTCCAAATACCCTAAAAAGGGATGCTGGTTATTTTTGTTATATTAATCTGTTCTCAGCATTAATGAGTGGACAATCATTGTCAAATAAAGCAGCAATGCTGATGATCTATATAGTCAAGAAATACTCCCTTAGGTGCTGGTGGCTCACATCTGTTGCTTACTTGGAGGCTGAGATTGTGAACGTATGGCTGGAGGCCAGCCCAGGAAACGCTGTCATGGCTGTGATGGCCCGTGCCTGGTGAGAACGGGGGACTGCAGCTCCGGACAAACCCAGCCAGAGAAGCAGCAAGACTGCCTCAACCCCTGCCACAGCGGGGAGTGTGAGAAAGGAGGCTCATAGTCCAGGGACAAAAATAACTACTGCAAAAAGGGTTGGACCCATGGCTCCATAGCAGAGCACCTGCCTGGTAAGAATGAGGGCCTGAGTTCAAACCCTAGCACTGCCAAAGAAGAAAAAAAAAAAGAAATTTGCTTTTGAGATGTTAAGTGGTAATAAAATAGCTTAATGATAATGATCAATTTTAGGTACTAAACTAATGCCAGAGGTTTTCTTGAGGAACTGGTGTGAAAGGTTATGTCTGCCATGCAGGGCACATGGTCAATGTGGTCCTGTTTTGATCAGCAATTCGTGAGGCTGAGCCATCCTGATGACTGACTTCTAATTCCTTTTGGCCAGTCTCCAGCTTCACAGTAAAAGTCATTATATTTTCTCAACAAGTCCTCTAAAATTCTGCAACTGACAAAGTTATTGTAAGAATTTAAATACATGTACATATCCATTTGTGTTTGACACTTGATAACATAGATACGTATTCATATAATCTACATTAACTACTATGTACAACCGCAGTGGTTTTAAGATTCAACTGGAAGACCTTCTCTCTATGGGATTATCAGATAGGTAAAGCATAACTGGCAGGGCAGAGACACAGCATGTCATCACTACATTCCTCTACTTCATCAACAACTGAAGTGTACGAGAAGGAGACGCAGAGGTGTGGACACAGGTGTGCATGGACACAGCGGTCACCCTGGCTCAGCTCTAACATCCTGGTACCCTTGCAGTCATTCACACACTGCAGATAGGCGTGACTGAACACAGCAACTCTGACTCTTGGTAGATTCCTCTAGAATCTTAAGGGGTAACCGGAAGCCATCTTCCACTCACATCCATGTCTCCCTTAGGAGAGTGTCATAAAACGGTTTCCAATCACGGTCCAGGTACTGATGAAGTATGAACACATTCTGCAGGCAATATTTGCAGAATATAAAAACCACTTAACTGGGGCTGGGAAGGTGACTCAGTGGTAGAGCGCTTGCCTTGCATGCATGAGGCCCTGGGTTCGATTCCTCAGCACCACATAAGCAAAAAGAAAGAAAGCTGGAAGTGGCGCTGTGGCTCAAGTGGTAGAGCGCTAGCCTTGAGCTGAAGAGCTGAGGGACAGCGCCCAGGCCCAGAGTTCAAGCCCCACGACTGGACCCCCCCCCCAAAAAAAAAAAAAACCACTTAACTAAGCAGGGCGCTGATGGCTCACGCCTGTAATCCTAGTGACTCAGGAGGCTGTAAGCTAAGGATTGCAGTTCAAAACTAGCCCAGTCAGGAAAGTTTGTGAGACTCTTACCGACAATTAACCACCAGAAAACCAGATGTGAAGCTCTGGCTCAAAGTGATAAGGCACTAATCTTGAGTAAAAGCACTCAGGGACAGC